CAATCAATAGGCACTTAGGGCTTAACCTGTTATTCAGGAAGAAGAGCAATCATAGTGATATGACCATCTATAAAATCCTTCTTATAACATGTATAACGGGTCCTTAGATCAGAAATTGCATGTATTTTAATAATTATAATATTTTAAAATCTAAAATATCTTTTTTTGACATAAACATTATTATGATATTTGGTTAACATGGTTAAACCCAATCACAACTGAAGCATTCATGTGTGTGCGTTGTTGACTTGTCGTGTGCGTATTTAATGTTTCAGTTTATTTCACTTTGTTTACCTTACGTCCACTTTCATGTCTGGCATAATGTTATCAGTTCGCATTGGTTTAAAATTTACTCTAAAAACAGTTAACAAAGTTTACATAAAAAGTTCTCCAATCAATCTCGTCATATGTATCGGATATCGGCAGAGGCACATAAAATTGAACTCGGTCATCGGTAGATATAATCAATCCGAATTCAAGAGCAAAAATATATTTAAAAAAAGAGAAAGAAATTCACGATAATTTCACAACAAATCTCAAAAGGGAGTAAATGAATCATCTAGATAATTATCAAATATACAGTGGGTACCGCCCGTATAAAACTTATAAAATATACCTTCCGGAATTTTCCAGCCTCCATTTATATATTACATGTACGTTACCAGTGACGTCACTGGAAAGAGAAGTCTGACGTCTGCAAGTTCTAGAGCCTAGCTAAAGGTGAGGAATGCATAAAATCAACAATTATTGGCATTATCCTGTTATTAGCATCGCGGTGCTAATAATTTTTGACGTTATTTTACGTAACGTCAGAAGCGTTAAATGACTTAATATTTCAACATTTAATGATTTTAAATTGTTTTTGAGTAAAATTTAGAGGAAAAAATTATTTCAATACCACCAAACTAATTCGCACCGCGATGCTAATAACAGGAGTATATATAGAGAGACGACGTTTCTATTCCCGGGAAAAGGGTTTCTTTGGGGGATACCATAAGAAAAAATGGGGCTTGGCTTTTTTGGGGGGATCACTCTTAAAATGACACGTTTTAATGAACCAAATACCTCCAAACTAGTTAGCATCGCGATGCCAATAACAGGAGTATATATAGAGAGACGAGAGACATTTAAATACCTGAAAACTAATTCGCACCGCGATGCTAATAACAGGAGTATATATAGAGAGACGACTTTCTAAATATCAAGATTATAAGCTCCACAAAGGGAAGTATTCCCGGGAAAAGGGTTTCTTTGGGGGATACCATCAGAAAAAATGGGGCTTGGCTTTTTGGGGGGGTTAAAATGACACGTTTTAATGAACCAAATACCTCCAAACTAATTAGCATCGCGATGCCAATAACAGGAGTATATATAGAGAGACGAGAGACATTTAAATACCTGAAAACTAATTCGCACCGCGATGCTAATAACAGGAGTATATATAGAGAGACGACGTTTCTAAATATCAAGATTATAAGCTCCACAAAGGGAAGTATTCCCGGGAAAAGGGTTTCTTTGGGGGATACCATCAGAAAAAATGGGGCTTGGCTTTTTGGGGGGGGGGGGATCACTCTTAAAATGACACGTTTTAATGAACCAAATACCTCCAAACTAATTAGCATCGCGATGCCAATAACAGGAGTATATATAGAGAGACGAGGGACATTTAAATACCTGAAAACTAATTCGCACCGCGATGCTAATAACAGGAGTATATATAGAGAGACGACGTTTCTAAATATCAAGATTAAAAGCTCCACAAAGGGAAGTATTCCCGGGAAAAGGGTTTCTTTGGGGGATACCATCAGAAAAAATGGGGCTTGGCTTTTTTGGGGGGTTAAAATGACACGTTTTAATGAACCAAATACCTCCAAACTAATTAGCATCGCGATGCCAATAACAGGAGTATATATAGAGAGACGAGAGACATTTAAATACCTGAAAACTAATTCGCACCGCGATGCTAATAACAGGAGTATATATAGAGAGACGACGTTTCTAAATATCAAGATTATAAGCTCCACAAAGGGAAGTATTCCCGGGAAAAGGGTTTCTTTGGGGGATACCATCAGAAAAAATGGGGCTTGGCTTTTTGGGGGGGGGGATCACTCTTAAAATGACACGTTTTAATGAACAAAATACCTCCAAACTAATTAGCATCGCGATGCCAATAACAGGAGTATATATAGAGAGACGAGGGACATTATAATACCTGAAAACTAATTCGCACCGCGATGCTAATAACAGGAGTATATATAGAGAGACGACGTTTCTAAATTTCAAGATTATAAACTCCATAAAGGGAAGTATTCCCGGGAAAAGGGTTTCTTTGGGGGATACCATCAGAAAAAATGGGGCTTGGCTTTTTAGGGGGGATCACTTTAATTTAAAATGACACGTTTTAATGAACCAAATACCTCCAAACTAATTAGCATCGCGATGCCAATAACAGGAGTATATATAGAGAGACGAGGGACATTTAAATACCTGAAAACTAATTCGCACCGCGATGCTAATAACAGGAGTATATATAGAGAGACAGCGTTTCCAAATATCAAGATCATAAACCTCACAAAGAGAGAGATTACAACATATTTTTTTTGTTTCACATTGCATTCAGTTTTCTTAAAAGTGTTACAGTAGTAGACGATCGTGATGAGCGACTCTATAATGTTCTACCTCTACTGAAGCGTGCGGGATTTCTTTACACTGTCACGCAACGTACAAACAAAGGACTTATACTTCCTAACCTGTTCTGGAATACATTGTACATTGAAATCCGTGCAGAAATAAAATATATGATAGGAAAATTTTAAATATGTTACCTAATGAATGAAATTGATCAGAAAAGGAATAAATGAGAGTACTAAAATGTATTGTGCATTTTCATGTAATCGCAATGGATAGCATTTATTCCGTATATGAAGACATCAAATATATATATTGAGTTTTGAAAGTTGTGTTTTTGAAGACCTTGGAATTTATTCTGTTATTAATATTATCTCAACTTATTTCTACAGAACGGAATAAAGTACATATAATAATTTTGATACTTTTGTTTATGAAGACCTTTATTCCGTTAAATGTTTATCTCAACTTATTTATAACGGAATAAAGTGCATATATTGATATTTGATAGTTTGTTTATGAAGACGTTTATTCCGTTAAATGTTTATCTCAACTTATTTATAGCGAAACAAAGTGCATATATTGAATTTTGATAGTTTGTTTATGAAGACATTTATTCCGTAATATATTTATGTCAACTTATTTTTAACGGAATAAAGTTCATATATTTAATTTTGATAGTTATGTTTATGAAAACATTTATTCCGTTAATACATTTATCTCAACTTTTTTTTTATAAAGTTCATATATTCATTTTTGATAGTTTTGTTTATGAAGACATTTATTCCGTTATATATTTATGACAGAGAGTGGAAATTAACGGAATAAGCATAAAATCCATAAATATTGTTGTTTAAAGACTTAATTTTTAATTCTAAGCTTGCAAAATTATAATTTTTTTTACGTCAACAACGCCAACAACGTCAAAAGTTATTCGCATCGCGATGCTAATAACAGGATAATGCCCAATTATTTTACGACTGTGTGTTGCATGTAAACTAAGGGGGGTGTTTTTTTCTCAGTGTATTACATAATGGAGACGTGGGGTACCAAAAACAGAAAATATTGACCATGTTGAGCCAGTGAGCTGTCTTGGTCAGCACCCAGGTGTATCCATCAACACGGGCACGTTATATCAAAATGCAGGTGAAGTTTTAAAATACTGTTATAACAATTAAGTATTTATTTAAAATGTTTTTAACCTAACAAATGAGATGCAAAAAAAAGAAGAAACAACAACAATTTGATGTAAAGTTCCTCTCACTCAATTTATTTCTTTTTTTACAGTAGATCTATTTAAAACATCACATTAAATGGTAAAGGAAATTATTATCTTTGAGTGCAATAATGGTGTAACAGTTTTGTTTTTACATATGTTCCCTTTTAATCCTTATATGAATATAAATTGTGTTTGAGATTGAGAATTTTTATGTGATTTTAGATATGCATTCCAGGATGGTGACTGAAGCTCATCTTTGTAAACACCTATATGCCTAGAATGGACTCCAAAACAGATTATTAAAGTTTAACCAGTATAATCTTGAATATGGTAATACTTTTAAAAAGGAATAAAATTTTCTTATCATATTGCTTTTAGACTTGCAAATACTACATGTAACTTGAAGCTTTTCATGTAAAATTTGAAATGCAATCGAGTTTGACGAATTTCACACTACTAAAAGTTATCTCCCTTGTCGGCATAACTCACATTTTTCCCACTTTGTCTTTTGTAAGTTACCTGTTATTATTTTCAATCTTCAAACGTTATTGAACAATTTAGATCTGTACCTGTATTGCCAAAGTTTGGGGCAACATGAAAATCTTAATGAACAATATTCATTTCAGATTTTTTTTAAGATACTTACCAACCAATAAATTTGGTAAGGTTACAGAGGGAAAACAGGGCCTTACGCTGGATTGACCCTGCAAAGGGGAATAACTTTTGAAAAATTTAATGTAATAGTCGTTTATTTTTTTTTTTTACATATGTTTTTTTTTTTAACCTCAAGGACAAAAAGTATACACTTGGAACACAAACAAAAACAGATGAGTCCATGCCAAGCTATGCAGAAGGTAAGTTCAATTTTTCATTTTGTAACTCTTCTGGTTTTATCTAGATCGAACCTTACATATAATCAAGTCAGCTTCAGTATAAGGATACGGAAATAACGAACAGTATTCAATCTCAACGTCCATTAAACAAATATACAAAATAAGAGCAGAGCAAACACGGACCTCCGAAACATCAGAGGTGGGATCAGGTGCCATGGAGGAGTGAGCATCCCCTGCTGACCGGTCACACCCGCCGTGTGCTCATTGTATATAATAGAATGATTAATAATGGAGATAACGAACAGTATTCAATCTCAAAGTCCGTAAAACTATACAAAATAAGAGCAGAGCAAACACAGACCCCTGAAACATCAGAGGTGGGATCAGGTGCCATAATAAAACACCTATTTACTTACTATTCAGAAAATAGCTTGTTTATCATCTCCCTCAACAGCAAACTATTTCCCTCGTCTGCATCTTGGGGAATAGTTGTTGTCTTGGGGGATGAAAAACTAGCTATTGTCCTCATAGCCAGTATATAGGTGTACATGTACACTGTTTTAGCTCTTCTGTGCCAATTGCTCAAAGAGCTAATGCTACGGCCATTTGTGCGGTGTGAATAAACTTTTTTAGCTTACCTAAGCCAAAGGCTCAAGTGAGCTTTTCTGATCAAAATTTGTGCGTTGTCGTCGTTGGCGTTGTCATTGTTGTAAACTTTTCACATTTTCATCTTCTTTTCAAGAACCACTGGGCCAATTTCAACCAAACTTAATTGCTACAAAGTATCCTTGGGTATAGGGAATTCAAATTTGTTCAAATGAAGGGCTGGGCCCTTTTCGAAGGGGAGATAATTATGAATTAGAAAAAAATTAATGGCATTTTTAAAAAATCTTCTTCTCAAGAACCACTAGGCCAGGGAAGATGAAACTCATGTGGAATCATCCTCAGGTAGTGTAGATTTAAGTTTGTTCAAGTCATGACCCCCGGAGGTAGGGTGGGGCTAAAATGGCCAATCAAAGTTTTACATAGGAATTATATCTAGGGAAACCTTTTAAAATCTTGTTTTCTAGTACTTTAAAGCCATGCTTAGTATATTAATAGGGAATCATCCTCAGGTGGTGTAGATTCAAGTTTGTTCAAATCATGACCCCCTGGGGGGGGGTGTTAAAATTCAAGCCCCCCCCCCCCCAGCAAACTTTCAGTTCTGATCTGATGTGTGATTTTTCCTAGCAAATTGCTCAGGTGAGCGATGTGGCCCCTAGGCCTCTTGTTAGAATGTGGGTCATAACTCAAGATCCCCTTGGACAATCATTGTCAAATTTTCACAGGGCATCCTTGGCCCAAGGGCTACCATTTATACTAAAATTAGGGTTTGGACCTTATACAAGGGGAGATAATCAGGAAGATAAAACCAAAAGAAGTCTATATTGGCCTAGAATTGTTAAACTTTGTCAGTTGAGGTATCTTTGGAGAATGTCGACCAAAAAGTAGGTCACCATGATCTACTTATGGTATTTTATAGCTCTATTGAAATATCTGGGTATTCATAGTGACAATACTTTTGTATTGATACACCAAATTAACCTTTTGAATTGAACTTGGAGTATGATTCACTTTTAAGAAAGTTTCATAACTTGAATCTTGGCCTTAACTTTTGAACAGTTGTTGCAAGGGCTTTCATACTTCACTTGTATATTTATTGTGACAAAACGTTTCAATGGGTATAAATTAAAATATTTGACCTTTTACTTTTAGTTTTACCCACTGTTAAAAAACTAACTTTGATCATAACTTTTGAGCTGATAGTAGTAGGGCTTTCATATTTCACATATTTACTCTTTGTGACAAGTCCGTCCTTGGATGTCAACAATTTTGACCTTTGACCTTGACTTTGGAGTTTGACTTGCACTTGGGAAACTTGAACCATAAGCTGGCATATGGGGTATCAGTATGTAGAGTTTTTTCCCAGTTCACCCCAAGATCAATGCTATGTAATGAATTTTAGATAAGAAAACTACAAGGTAGATATTTGAGGATATAGTGAAAAAAATAGTTTAAAAGATCATAGTTATGAATACTAAAAAAATAATTATTTAGTATTTATATTTAAGTTCTACAGAAAATCAACCAAGATTAATATGTGGATAATAATAATGTTCAGGGGAAAAAATAGGTTTTCTCTTATTCCATGCATTTAATAATTTCTTTTTCTTTACAGGTAAAAGAGAACTGGAGAAGAATGAATTGATGTTAACATACTCAACATTAAATTTGGCTTAAATCTAAATATGTCTTTTGTTGTGATTGCTTCAATAGAATAAGGATCAGGAAATTCAAAGTGAAGGATAACCAGAAAGTGGATCATTCAACGATGAAAAGAAAATAAGCCTTTGAGAGAAATTATGTCAAATGCATGAATTGAATATTTAAATTGCACGTAATTTTTGTTTCACCAACGTTTACAATATGTGAAAAAATGTTCAAAACGTGTTTAACCATGGTTTGACACATTTTTGTATGGTATTTATACATTAACAATATGAGCAGTGCAAATAATAAACCCATTAAACGTTATGAGAAACAGATGTTACACACATGTTAAACGTACGTTATTCATATGTGAAACGTATGAGTAACGTACGTGTGCAATATACGTGTAACGTATGGTGGGCAAAACGTACGTTTAACATGCGTGACACGCATGATATTCACACGTGTGAAAACATACGTATAACGTACGTGGTATCTTTTTCATGGAAAACGTACGTGAAGTCACGTACGTGTCACATACGTTTAACATACGTGAAACGTACGTGGCACAATTAGCTGTGTACTCCACCTGGCCCTAGTGATGTGGAGTATATGAAGCATAACAGGGGCAGGGAACCAGGTTATTGTGCACCCGACTTGAGCCGAGGGTAAATAAAACATGACGTCACAATACATACTTTCTCCATGATTAAAACCAAAAACACATGACGTCATGATGCATTGTAGTACCGTCCCGTCATGTGTTTTCGTGGTACATACGTTTTCGTGGTATTTTTTATTCTTAGGAATAATCCCACAATGCAAGATCGGAATGACGTCATATTTGCCATATAAATAAAGGGGAACCCTTTGCATGTTTTATGACCAAATGTTAAACCTTTTTGCCTTTTCCAAAATAGAATATATCGAGTGAGTTATGCATAGTTCGCAAATTTGACAATTTGCGTAATATACTCTTATTCGTCGTGTTTAGAACTAGAAAATCAGACCCATGATTCGAGGGTACATAGTAATCTTATCATTAGATTGAGACACAGTTGATCAGACTCTGAGGTTTCCAAAAAAAAAATTATGGGTAGTACATAGGAAATAAACTCGTTATCCAGGTTCAGTCAAGGGTGTACAGTGATTTACCCAGGGTTGTAACATTCCAATAACCTTTCGGTATCAGGGTGTATGGAATAAATTTCCGGGGATAAATACCCCTGCACCCTTGTTTGGACTTGATAACTAATAATGATCACAAAAATAACCTACAAACAAGATAAATCTGAGAACAGGCTGTAACACTGAGACCCTCGGAACCAGGTACTTAGGAGGGGTAAGCATCCCCTGTTGACCAGTCAAAATCACCGTCATTATCCCTAGGTCTTTATCAAGTAGATGAGACATATCATTACAACCCAATGATTAGGTTATATGATAACCATATAATTTACAAAACTCTGACTAAAGCTGAACACGAATCGTGAATAGGCAAAAGCCATTATTGTAAGTTTCTTTGGCATCTTACTTTCCTGCTTTATTGTTTTTTTTCACTACGGAAAACTGTATAGCATGCACCCATCTGCACCTGTTGCTACTTGCTACTTAACAGTAACTCAGTCAGCCACTTTATATAGGGATCCTCAGATATAGCCAAAGTCAAATCGAATATGGCGGACACATTACTTAACCATTGTGTTCAGCTTTAAAGATGTTATTCCCCTGCAATAGAGTTGGAGGATATAATTATGCAATTGTTTGGTGGTTTTCAGCTCTATTGGTCAGATACCAGAAGAGCTTATGCGATAGTAATGCGTCCGGCGTCCATCTAGCTGTCTGTTTGTCTAGCTGTCTGCAAAAACTTTAACCTTGCCCATAACTTTTGATTTAGTGGAGCTATGACTTTCATATTTCACATGTATATTCCTTGTGACAAGACCTTTCTTTGGGTACCACCAATTTTGACCTTGGACTTTGACCAACTTTTTACACAAATATTGCAAACGCTTACTTTGGCCATATCTTAAGAACAGTATATACCAGGACATTTTTACTTGACATGTATATTTTTTGTAAAAGGATCTTTCTTTTGATACCAGCAACTTTCACCTTTTGACCTTGGAGATTTCCGTACATATGAAATAATTTTGACCTTGATCATAACTTTAGAACAGTAAGGACTAGTTTTTTCATACTTCGCAAATGTAATCCTTAACATTAAAAATAAATTAACTGCTGCATACTAACGATGAGTTTGTGATCTGTTTTATATCTTAAAATGTAATCCTTGTGAGAAAACCTTTCGTTGGATACCACGAACTTTGACCCTTTGACCTTGGAGTTTGACCTACTTTTAAAAAGCAAATCTTGATCATAGTTTTTAACGGTACTTGGACACAGATTTGGGGGTATTTTTTCTGTATAATATTACAACTTATATATTTAAATAGCATTTCACACCAAAATTAATAAAAAAAATCTTATTTCATCTAAAAGTTATTAAAACTTTAAATTAATTTTTGGCGGGTTTGATTGACACATCCTTGTACATTCACAAATTTTAAGTTTACTCTTAATACTTAAGGAAAGTGGCAATTTTGTTGTGTATAAATGAAAAATATTAATACTATAATCCAGAAAAATCAGAATAAACATGTTCGAAAGCAAAACAAACACACAATATATTCTCAGTCCGTGCAGTTGTGGTAAGCAGACTTTGAAGAATTGAACGCATCCGGTGAATCGTAAACAATCAAC